GAGGTGGAAGAGGGTATGGGGGGTAAATGGTGATGGGGGAAAATAAAATAAAAAGAAAAAATATTTGAGACCCATTTATACTACAAAATATCCATTGCTTATCTGGAATTCAGATTTAACTGAGTGTCCCATATTTTTATTTGCTAAATCTGGTCACTCTAAATGAGACACAGAGTTGGACTGCTCCTCTGTAGTGGAGAGAGTGAGCCAAACATCACCCAGTAGGGTAAGTTCTATCTTCGTACTTATTTTTCTGACAGTTAAATGAAGTTTCAGTGGAGAGGAAATGCAGTATCAAGAAATTCAGTTAGACTGGATTGAGTTGAACTGCCCTCAAGCCAGTTATGTACAGAGGAAGCAGGCTAGGGAGGCTGGGCCCTTCGGATGATAGCACCCCGAGCAAGTGGGCACCCGTTTGTGCCTGGAAGCAGTAATGGATGACCGTGGAAAGTGCTCAGAAAGAGCCAGAGGCTCAAGATGCCTCCCAAGTTCTCTCCTAGTGCTTGCATCTTCTCAGGATCCCCAGACTCTGGCTTTCTTGCTTGTTTGAAAGGATAGCAAGGGACAAGGCAATAAAGGCCCCACGGAAGCAGCCCCTCATCAGGGAGATAGGTGCTAGCTGAATGCTGACTGGGCCCTTTGCTTTGTACCCATCCTGCTTATTCCCAGACAACAGAAGTGCTGCTCAGCCGCCTGGTCAGCCTCATTATGCTCTGACACAAAGTGCTGAGTCCAGGAGCTACCCTGGCCCCATGACCTCACCCTCCCACACTGGGCTTCATCCTGTGAGGCTCCCTGGACCCAGAGGCAAGGCTAGGGCATTCAAGCCATCCATAAACTTCTACGGAGTGTCTACCATGCTTGACACGTACAGTAGTCCAAGTGTTGAGGAGCCCAAAGTTCAAACCGACCATGTTACATTTGGGAAGTCATCTCATTCGCCTCCAAGTCTAATAGCCCATCCCACTGGACACGCAGTTGCTCCACCTACTTGTGCAATGAGTGTGTGGACTGAGAACATGGTTCAAAATCCATATCCCCAATAAATCAATGTGCTTTGGAAAATTAGACTGACAAAATGCGCTGCTAAAACTTAATAAAGAAACATATTGGAACCCGGCTGGTGTGGCTCAGTGATTGAGCATCAACCCATGCACCAAGAGGTCGCCAGTTCGATTTTCGATCAAGGCACATGCCCAGGTTGTGGGCCTGATCCCATGAGGGGCATGCAGGAGGCAGCCAATCGATGTTCTCGCTCATTGATGTTTCTCTCTCTCTCTCTCCTTCTCCCTTTCTCTCTCACTAAAATCAACAAAGAAAAAAAAAATTTTTTTTTTTTTAAAGAAACATATTAGAGCCCTGGCTGGTGCAGTTCAGTGGATAGAACATCAGCCCGCACACCAAAGGGTCATGGGTTCGATTCCCATCAAGGACACGTAGCTGGGTTGCAGGTTCCATCCCTGGCCTTGCCAGGGCATGCTAGGGAGGCAACCAATCAATGTGTCTCTCTCACATTGCTGTTTCTCTCTGTCTCTCTCCCTTTCTCCTTTCTACTCTCTCTAAAATTCAATGAAAAAAACATCCTCAGGTGAGGATTAACAAAAATAAAAATAAGTTCAAACAAAAGAAAAATATTGAAAACAAAGAAAAACTGAACAAATGTGATCTTTTCCGAATTCAAAGAAAACACTTTCTGATAATTTTTCTAAAATTTTTGCTGCTTGCTCCCACTTGTCTCTATGAAAATCCAGCAGAAAAGGATATCTGATTTGGACAACCAGTAATGTAGTTAACATTTATTGACCTCTCACTGAGTATCTAATGCTGCCCTGAACACCGCTGTCTCCCTTCATCTGACGTCAGTGCGTCAGGTAGATGTTATCATCTTACTTTATGCCAGAAAGACAGGGTTGGCCAGAGAAAAGAAGATGGGCTTTGAGTCACATAGACATGCATTCAAGTCCTTACTGGTTTTCCTGGCCCAGAACTTGGCCCCTCAGAACCTCAATTGACTCATCCTTAAAATGGGTATATAATGATCTACTTCACAGAGTTGTTGTGAAGATAAAGGAGGCACTGTGTGGTTCACAGTAAATGCTCAGTAAGCTAGTTATTGTTAGTATGGATGAACAGGAGAGACCCAAACCCAGTTTGAGAGAAGGAATTACAAGCTGATGGCTCCCTTCATTCCCACTCCATGAGTGGCTGTGTCCTGACTTTCCTGCAAAGAGATGGTGGTAGGGGCTGGAAGTAACCAACATGAAGCTGGTGAAGCAACAGTTCTAGACAATGTCAGAGGGGGTATATGCTAGAACTTGGTTAAAAACCATATTGAGGTAATATTTGAAAAACATAATGGTTAGCGCTGGAGACCTGTTAATCCTTTTCCAACCTCCACAGACTTAAGGTAATTGAGGAAAGTGGAGGGAAGACAGGCTGGGGCTGTGTGTGACCCTAGGAATATTCTATGAATATTGGTAAATTATTTGCACAATAACCCTGACCCCCACCCCACCCCCACCCCACCCCCCACACAGTAGTTTTGTGTATTGTGTTTGGGCTTTTCAACCAAACATAAAAAAAGCTCCACTTTTCTGTTGGCTCAATCAGTCTGCACTGTACTAACTCTTCAGTAGGGTGTAAAGCTCCTAAATCAAAATGCTGACGGTATATGACACACAAACACAACACAAGCAGGTCAGTGTGGCCAGGGTGAGTAGGGCTACATCATGATTACCTCTGTGTCTGCAGAGTCACAAAACCCCATTAGAGGATGTCTTTAATTTATTAGAAGCATATTGATTGCCCTGGCCTGGTGGCTCAGTTGATTGGAGCATCGTCCCATGCACCACAAGGCAGGTTCCATTACTGGTCAGGGCACATACCTAGGTTGTGGGTTGGATCCCCTGTCAGGGCTCGTAGAGGAGGCAACCAATCTCTCTCTCTCCCTCAAATTAATAAAAACGTATCCTCAAGTGAGGATTAAAAACAAAACAAAACACGTATTTATTGAGCTAGGAGTTATGCCCAGAGCTGAAGATGTAACGATGAACAAGACAGATACGCGGCCCTCGTGGAGCATGAAGTCTAGTGAAAGAAGCAGATAATTAAGCAAACAGTTTCTTTTTTTTCAAGAATAACTTTGTTTTAATAGAAAATACGTTCACATTGTTTAAAACTCAAAAAGTACAGGAAAATATATAGTGACAAGTTCTGTTCTAACCTGAGCCCCACGTGCCTCATTTCCTCTCCTTGGAGCCCAACCTTTCTAGTTTCCTAAGGAATTTCTACGGCACGATCAATGCGCTGCTGGAGAAGCACAGGGGTCCGCCGGAGCACCTTGTGGGAGTACCTAAGCCAGTCCAGGGATTAGGAGTGAATGAATGAATAAATGACTAAATAAGTGTTTCCCAAAGACCCCAGTTCTGTGGAGGAAGAGAAGAAAAGGTGAGGAAGAACCACTAGACATGGTCCCATGATGCCTTAAGCCCTTGCACAGCCATCTGCCAGCCAGAGCCTGCCATGATCATCCCCAGGGTGATGACTCAGTCTCTTGCCAGCCATTAATCCAGACATCACCAATTTATTTATTTTTAATTATTTTTTCTTTATTGATTTCAGAGAGAGAGGAAGGGAGAGGGAGAGAGAGATAGAAACATCGATGAGAGAGAACATTGATTGACTGCCTCCTGCATGCCCCCCACTGGGGATTGGGCCCACAACCTGGGCATGTGCCCTGACCGGGAATCGAACTGGTAACCTCTCGGTGCATGGGTCAACGTTCAACTGCTGAGCCACAGGGCTGGGCCATCGCCAATTTATGAAGCAGCAGAAACGTCCTGGGGTGGTGCATCATGCTTAGCATCAGACCTGTACATTTGAAATTTTTTGCACAAATTTACAAACACTTGTGTACGTACAAGAACTTGTCCCCTGAGTTTTAGTTCTGAGAACAGGGACACTGATGAACCTGAAGACTGACAAAGGGATTAGGAGAATTTTTACTGGGAAAAGTTTCTTTTCTCCAAGCTGCTATCAGGTTTTCTACAGTATCTGTCACCAGAAACAGAGTAGGATAATAAGTAATAATAAACCAACAATGTGTCAGGCAGATATTATCTCCATTTTTGGAGTCGAGAGAGGCTGAGTGACTTGCCCAAAGTCACCCAGACAGGGGAGCTAGGATTTGAACTTACATCTGCCAGGCTCAGAACCCTCCCTACCTAGTGCACCCCACTCCACCTTCTCACAGTAGCTGCGATGCCTAAACAACACATCTTTCCCTTCAGCTCCCACAGAAGCCCACGATTCCCCTACACTACCCTCACTAAGTGCCCTGACCTTGCAGAGAGAAATATTTTTACCTGTTAGGGTACCATAGGTACAATATGTTGTGTCTATGAGACTGTCAACAGCCTAGAGCAGTATATTAAAACCCTAAAGAGATTTATTAGCTCCAAATTTTTAAAAGAAAATTGCAAAATAAAAATGAATAGTTAATAAAATAGCTACAGAGTCATGACTACTAGTCAACCATAATTGAATTTAACTCTTACATATTTATATATAAATATAGTATAAGATTCCCCCAAACAAAGTGAACCACTAAAAAAAAAAGTTTAGAAGTGTAATACTCCTTCACATTTTTTAACAACAAAGACAAAAACTATATTTCCTATGTGGGAAGTGAAGTGCACTTTGATGTGTTCAATATGACATGGGGTCTTAGGAAGGGCCTGGGGTGGCATGAGGAATCTGGAGAAGGACGGGGACAAGCACTCACACAGAGATCTGTCCTCACCTCTCAGCTGCTCTGAGATCGAGACCACAGCAGCGGGGCCTCTCTGGATTTTTTTGTTTCTCTAGTTTAAACAAAAGCCTGAGGGATTCCTGCCCAGCCGGCTGAGCTACCAAAGCTCTGGGGATCAGGGAGAACAAAAGCAGAGGGGAAAAAGAGTGCTGACAGGGCCAGAGGACATCAGCCCGCAGGGCTATAAAGAGCAAGGCCCCAGAGAAAGTGGCACCACATGGAGACCCGGACTGTGCAGCGAGAGATGGGTAAGGTCCTGAGGGATGCGCTTCCTCTCTGTCCCCTGCAGAGATATGCCCAAGAGGGGACCTAGCTTTCATGCCTTGTGGTCAGAGCCTCCTAGGATGGCTGGAAAAGAGTGGGGAACTCTGCAGGGAGGCAGCCTTCTTTTGTCACCCCAAGAGGAGTCACTGACACGTCAATAACCACTACCCTAGCCATCGTGGCTGGGAGGAGGCGTGGGGCTGCAGTAAATAACAGATTCCTGGGGCATAGGGAGAAGGTATGGGGGCAGGATCTGGGAAATGCTTATTCAGAGGTTCAGAATGGAAAGATATATCACAAGATTGACATGCATCATCCCTGCGCCTGATACCAGCCAGAGGGAAGAACCAGGAATAATCAAGAAACCTGATGCACAGCTGCCTGTCTCCTTTCTTCCCTCCCTCCCTCCTATCCTTCCCTTCTTTATTCTTCCTACCATCTTTTTTGTCTACCTAATCTCTATGAGCCTCAGTACCCTCATCTGTAAAATGGGGATAATGATAGTACTTACCTCATAGGCTTGTTGTGAAGATTAAATGTATTGATGCATGTAGAGCATTTAGGACAGGGCCTGGCACAGAGTGAGCCATTATTAAGTGTTAACTATTATTATTCTCTTTTTTTCCTCACTTTCTTTCAATACATTTTTTTCAATGGCTCCCATCCTCCCCACCCCCCAACATGGACTCAGCTTGGTTCTACCACAGTGACTCAGGAGACCCAGACCCTTCAATGAGATGTTCACCAGGACATATTCAACAGGAATGCAGATCAGTACTGTGATGAGTGCTAGAAATCAGGGAAGAAAGGCAGTCACTGTGAGCTGGGGAAAGCAGCAAAGTCTCTCTGAGGAGCTGGGCAGGTTGAGAAGACAGAGAAGTAGGGGGGAATGGTAGCGTGGCTGTGCAGAGCCAGTCAGTCTGAGGGCTCCGAAGAGCTAGGCGAGGGTGAGACCCACACACTGGTAATATGAGGGGTGTGGACTAGACGATTGCCAAGGAGTTTATATTGGGGTATGTGAGACTGTGGCAATGCTGCCACCTGTAGGGGGTACCTAGAGGCAGGCAAGTGGACGAGAGCCACATTTATCAAAGAGGTTACAATGCCTGTGTGGTGCTTTACCTGCATGATTGCTTCTAATCCTTACAATAACTCTGCACGTAGCAGCTTTACTGATGGAAGACAACAGAGACTCAGCTAGTGAGAGGCAGAGCCAGAATCCCAACCAAAGTCTGTCTGCTGGACTTCAAGCCTCTTTTACTTTCCCCTGTGCTCCATCACCTCATCTCCCAACCCAGAGGCCATATCATTGGTGTTCTGTCTTCCAGAAACCCTTCCAACCATCAAGATGGCTCAAACCAACCCCATGCCAGGGTATGTGGGGCCATGGAAGGTAAGCCCGCCTCCATCATATGGAAAATAGAGGAACCTAAAAGGGCAGGGTGTGAGATGTTGCCACAGATCAGGCTGTGCTTTTCCATGGGACAGTGGCTGGTGAATAAAACACCAGTTTGTAGGGAAAGGGTTCAACCAAGGTCCAGATGCTCTTTCAGGAAGGATCTTTTGGGATGTCCCATTTGGACAGAGGATGACCCTGGAAGCCCATGATGGGTAGGAGATGATACCTAGTTTTCTAGTTCAACTCTTTTTTGCACTGCTATAATCACCTTAAAATTGAGCAGCCCAGACTGAATTAAACCATGGAGAAACTGAGAGCCCAGAAATGAAGAGAGATTTGCTGCCAGATCCCAAATAAGTGATAGGACCCAGGTCTTCTGACTCTTATCCCGAACCTGGTTGTAACTATTACCTGAAGTGGTTGATCCTCAGGCTTTTCACTGTTTCCCTCAACACCTCTACCCTCTTCACTGGATCAATTCTGAGACCAGTTCACAGCTTTCGGAGTTGTCTTCAAGTTCAAGAATTCTAGTTCAAGGCACGGAGGGGATTTATTACAACTCTCTCTCTACACCTCAGGTTTCTGTAGCACGGATCCCCTGTGACACCCAGAATCCTGGCCCCTGGATCACACTTATGCAGGAAGCATGGTGAATAAGAGTCCTTGAATCCTTGGTCTGTCCACTGGGCCAGCTATTGTTCCTAGCAGACCAGTCCTATTATAAACGAATCCCCCATACCTCATCCTTAGCCTGGGCATGAGAAGACCACCAACCAGTGGTATTAATTCAAACCCCTTGTTATACTGGAAGAGACCTCATCAGCCATCCATACAGCTAGTGATGGAAAACACAGGGGCAGACACAGGGGCAGACACAAGCTAAGCTGTTGACCAGGGCCTCTGTTCTTCCTGATGTACCACATTCTAGCTCTCTTTTTCCATTCTATCTAATTCCAGATAACCATCTATGACCAGGAGAACTTCCAGGGCAAGAGGATGGAGTTCACCAGCTCCTGCCCAAATGTCTCTGAGCGCAGTTTTGATAATGTCCGATCTCTTAAGGTGGAATGTGGAGTGTGAGTATGGACCTCAGCAGAACGTCAGGCCCCTTATATCCAGTCCCCACAGACACGAGACCATAAAGGTGGAGATTGGGAAGAATGATGTTCCCCAGACTCTAATCATTTCTGGGAGAGAGACCTCCATACTGATGTAATCTCAAAAGAAATCACTACATGTGTAATTTAGTAACTTAAAGCTATAAGGTACATGAGATTTTTTTGTGGCTTGGTACTAAATTTGGGGGGTATTAAAGAAATATATATCATGGGTTGGGGCACTGACAGTAATCAGATCTTTGCTCCTGTACCCCAAGGTCTCTTGAGTTTTTCTTGCCTACAGAAAATAGAGAAAAAACAGTCAAACTGCAGCCCCTTTACAACTAACTCCTGTCCTGTATGTTCCAGAGTAGACATCACTAGCTAATTTCTCTGTGTGAAACAAAACTCAGCCACAGGATTGGAGAGTCATGTTGGTTCACATTTAGTCTTCCAGGAGTTTCTTGTTAATGGCTAATCTCCTTGGTGAGGAAGACCTTCTCGAGTTTTGACTTCTGACTCTTGGCAGGGTAGTTGAGCCTGATGATGAGCCTGAAAACATATAAGGACTCTCCTTTCACCTACGCAGCTGCTAACCAAAATTGAGCTTTTTCAAAAGGAGTAATATATATATATATATATATGAAATTTCTGGGGAAAATGATATATATATATAAATTGATTTATATATATATAAATTATATATATGTAATTTTTTATATTTTAGAGAGAGAGAGAGAGAAACATCCATAAGCTGCCTCCTGCACACCCCCTACTGGGGATCGAGCTCACAACCCAGGTATGTACCCTGACCAGGAATCAAACCCAGACCTCTAAGTCCACGGGACGATTCCTCAATCCACTGAGCCACACTGGCCGGGCAGAAGGAATACTACTTAAAGGTATTGTCAGTTACTGAGGCCTGGTTGTGAAAATATGATCTGAGGGGTTTTATAAATAAGGTATAGGTATGCAACATCAGAAGAAAGAACCCACAAAGTGACAAGGAGAGAAGAGACTGGTAACCCATCACTGCCTATTCAACCTTTTGCTTCCTTAGGAAGAAGCAATAGGTTTGGCTGGAGCCAAAGCAATGGTCAGTCACTTTATCTTGAACCTGGATCTCCAAGTAGAGAATAAGGTAACTTGGAAAGGAAATATAACTTTAGACTGACTTTGCTAACACACATTACTCAGGCCAGTGAAGTAAGTAGACCCTTTGTGGATAATCCCAAAACAAATACCACATTTAGAAACCTGCTTAGTGCAGCTGCCCTCATTTCCCACCTTGTGATAAATACTACTTTGTATTGCTCTATTAGAATTGGCTTGATATTTTACCCCACAATGAACATCTAAAACAAAAGTGCCTTCTCCTTGAGGCCTTGTAGACTCTGAACACCACAAACAAATGCCACTAATTGTCTTTGGCAGCTGGATTGGTTATGAGCATACCAGCTTCTGTGGGCAACAGTTTATCCTGGAGAGAGGAGAATACCCTCGCTGGGACGCCTGGAGCGGGAGCAATGCCTACCACATTGAGCGCCTCATGTCCTTCCGCCCCATCTGTTCAGCTGTGAGTCTGAAATTTTCACTTCTGTGCATGTGGGGAATGGGGCAAGAGAGGGTGTGTGTGGACTGACACTTATGCTACATCTCATCAGTTTTGCTGAAATGTGGCTGGAAAAAAGAGAAAAGTAAAAAAGAAAAACACTGGCGTCTCTGTTCTAAGCTTGCCATTTGATTTTTCTTTTCTAGATAATAATTTCATGAAGCTAAAAGTAAAGACCTTCCTATCTATAGGTGGCAGGAAGTGGACACTCAAGAGCCCAGATCTTCAAAAAGTGCAATGGGATAACTAGCGAGAGCTTATATTAAAAAGTCAATCGTTAGACAGTTAAAATTCAATCTGTGTAACATTTTACCCAGAAACAGGAAAGTACTAAAGTAACCTTTCAGTAAAGTGGGATAGCCAAAGAAACAGGCAAGGCTTCCAGAATCTCTTATCTTTGATTCATAACAACTTTCTGGTTTCTTAATACTAACCATTATTCAATTCTGCATCAGACTAGGACACTTCTAAAGTTTTTGGGGAGTTCAAGTTGAAGCAGGATGATTTTCAGTGGTTTGTTGAAAATGATACCTATGTTGGGAAAGAGAGGCTGGGCTACAACCTTCCCAAATATTTGTCTATATCATGTGACTTTCTCATAATTTTAGTAAATGATCTCACCTTAGTTTAAAATCCTACCAAAATTCAAGTAGTAAAGAAGGTAACCAAAACAGTTACAGATCTAAATTGTACTGCCTTATCTGGATGTTTGCCTCTCACTTTAACTCTGCATTTTTCCTAAGTGTATATATTGAGTTTTAAAAAATATTGTACATCCATATAACCAATACCCTACTCAGATATAGAACAATTCCATCACCCCATAAAGTTCCCTGGTGTCCCTTTCCAATGAATGTTCTTCCCTGCACACGCGCGCGCACACACACGTTTACTTCCCCTATTAATTTGTGGGATCTTTCTCCACATTAGTGAATATTAACCCCTTGGTTGGCTTTGTGTTGCAAGTATTTTTCTCCTGTTGTTATATTTTCATTAGTTTTTTATTGTTCCAAAGCATATTATTAGTTATCTGTATTAAATTGGATTAAAACGGATTATGGATGAATTTTTTCTTATAAATCACATTGCCTGAAATTTTTTTTTTTTTTTAATCCTCACCTGAGGACATTTTTTTTTGCATTTATCTTCAGGTAGAGGAGGAGGGAGAGAGGGGGAGGAGAGAGAGAGAAGCATCGATGTGAAAGGGACACATCGAGTGGCTGCCACCCACACGACCCCAACTGGGTCCGGGGACAAACTGCAACCGAGGTACGCGCCCTTAGCGGGAACTGAACCCGGGTCTCTCTGGACCGCAGGCTGATGCTCTAACCGCTGAGCCAAACCGGCCGGGGCTGCCTGAAAAGTTTTTACACCAATGATCATTTATTTCCTTCTGTAAACCAAGAGTGATTTGATTTTGAAAATTATGGTAACTGCAAAATTAAGATAGCCACAACACTAGTAGTAAACTTAAAATATATCTTAATTACAGAATCATAAGGAGTCCAAGATTACCATCTTTGAGAAAGAAAACTTTATTGGACGCCAATGGGAGATCTGTGATGACTACCCCTCTTTGCAAGCCATGGGTTGGTTCAACAATGAAGTTGGTTCCATGAAGATACAATGTGGGGCGTAAGTGCAAAAACAGGGTTGGACACATTTCAAAATAACTCTTGCAGCTGTAAACCCTGTGAATATTAACATATCAATGATGTCTTATCAAATTTCATATATTGACATCATATTGGTATGGCTGTCACAGTCTACTTACTAGCAATTTTGAATCTCAAATTTTTGGTACAAATTTCAGGTGTTTTTCCTCCCCCCCGATTCCCCTAGAGTATATGTAACCATTTGTATTGACTACTCTTACACTTTTCATTACCAAGGTTAATTTTCAATTAATTATGGTATCTGGCCTATTTTCTAAGCCTATAAGCATTCCATACCAACCATGTTGAAGAAAGAGGCTGTTTTGGGGTGTTGACCAGTTCCTAACTAGGCTTAATAGTCCAACATGCTTTTGGATTTTCTAGCTGGGTTTGCTACCAGTATCCTGGATACCGGGGCTATCAGTATATCTTGGAATGTGACCATCATGGAGGAGACTATAAACACTGGAGAGAGTGGGGTTCTCATGCCCAGACTTCCCAGATTCAATCTATTCGCCGTATCCAACAGTAGTGGACTTAAAGCTCCAAGAGAATTCCACAAGCATGAGACCTTACTAAGCAATCTAGAATAAGTTCTATGTTCTGCTCATAGGCATTGTTTCCAAATGTTAGCTGCTGAAATCCACAATAAATGTCATTTAAAAAAGTTGCAGACTGAATTAACTACCATGCTTTATATAAATCACACTTATATAGCTGAGAATTTTTAGGAACACATTTCAATAAAACCCCAAATTTCCTTGTGTCCTTGCAAGTCACTTACCAGGCCAAGCACAAGTATTCCCCACCTCAAGTAATACCAAAGCGTAATCCAAGTATATCAATCTATGTAGAAAAAAACATGGTTTTGGTAAATGTTTCTGCATCTTTGCTCTTTATCCCCTACTCTAAAAATGCTGATGTGAGCATTGATTTTCTTTTACTTGGTGGCAATCAATGCTAAACAAACTTAGGAAGTTTCTCAAATATGCATTACCATATATTTCTACATAAAGTTATGAATAAATCCAGAATCTTGTCAACTTATTCTGGTTGCTTAATTGCTTAGCTCAATTTTGGTTTCATAACATAAGGCTCAATGTCATGCAAAAAAGGCAGTGTAGCTGTTCTCAAAGCTGATTTTTCAATCAACATGCCATTTCTAAGCACCTTAATAATCTGGATGATTTCTTAAAACTGCCATGACATATGACCACAGTAAACATTTAAGACTTAAATTTGTGTATTTCATCCTTTGAAACTATGTAATTATCAATGTCACAATATTAATTTAGTTTTCAGTAATTTTTATTAATTTAAGCACACAAAAGATAACACAAAAAGCTCAGAAACTTTAAAATTTTTTATTCAACAATGTACACTTATTGTCTCTTAATTGGATCTACAAAGTTCTCAAGGTTTTTTTTTTCTGATAAAATAAGTAAATCTTGGTATGGATGTAGAGTGTCTGTAATTTATATCTTTAAAACACTGAACATGAAGTAAGACATCAATAAAGGAAGATCACTGTGTAACTGACACTTCCTCAGAATCCGTATCAGAAATAGCTATGGCAAATACCTAAGCATTTAACAAAAGGATACATTTCTGGCCTCTATTCTTTTACCTAGAAAAGGTCTATCTTTTTGATGGGGCAAAACAGTGAAAACTTTTTTTTAATTAGGAGAGGGGAGGAAAAACATCTTCTAACTTAACTTAGTCCACTAATTATCCTTTCCCTCAGATTGAGGTAAACTTGGCTAAATGCTGATGCATACAACACAAATTATTTTGCTCCTTCAAATATATTCTAGGACTGAACATAAGTGAACTACTGAAGCTAGAGTCAGCTATGATGCTACACTCCTGTATTTATGCCTTTTGAGGCCATGAATTATCTGCCACCTTTCAAGTCTTGACTAGTAGGCTTAGTTTTTAACTGTCACTTTCAGTGAAGATGCAGAAGAGTTTTGCTGTTTTCAAAGTCAACAACATACATCAAGAGCACACTTGATGACAGAGAAGTAACACTCTTCTATACACAGGAAAAAGCTATAAAACAAGGATTTCATTTATATCTAGAAGTATGGGGAAAATACCGTTTGTATTATCTTCTACTTAAACTTATCTGCCTCTTCTACAAAGGTCCTGGAGAGATTGCAAAACAATCTTTTAAAAGATGATTGACAAAACCTGGCCAGTACATCTACACAATCTTTTAAGTACACATACATGTGAAGTAAAGCTATTTAGTACATGCAGACTGCAGAAATTTAACCAAATTTGCCCAAATTCTAAACTTGTTCTAATCAGCTTGGGCAATTTAAAAAAGATACATATTATTAAAACAACCTGTGCTTAGATATTTAAGCAAGATAATGATTCTAATTTCAAGTCAATCATTCATTCATTAAACTAATTTATGCTAAAGTGATAAAGATAACTAGCTATCCTACCTTTAAACCAGGTTTAAGTCATAAAATTGTCACAGAACTCCATGTGGCAAAAGGTCCTTCCGTCATTTCGGTTTGAATTACTTCCCATTTTTATTTGATCAAATAAACCAAAAATTTCACTGAGGAAGTAAGAACATCCATCAGTTTGTAAAACTGATAAAAAAATGCCCTGTTTCAAGAAAAGCCCTTTAGTAGATAAAACTCAAGCTCTCATTTAGTTTACTAACAGGTGCCAGTTTTCCTCTCTTCTGCTTCCCTTAATGAGCTAATCCAGAACTATAATTTTGAGCCATGTTTCTAAAGAGGGTGAAGCTAAGAACAGCAAAGTAATAAGGATAGGTCACTTTTGGTAATGACACACAAATTAACTTTCAAAACATGTGCATAGCTTTATTCATCTACTTAGGTCTAACCTTTCATGGAGCTTCGGCAAAATTCGAGTGTGCAAAATGCATTTCTAAAACGTAATGCAAGCAAAGCTTTTCACATTTATACTGGCAGGAAATACAGAGACACTAACAAGTCACATTAGGGAGAGTTTTTTAATGACAAGAATTGCACAGTTCATTATTTTGAGACAATTGTTGTAGACATAAGTATTTAAAATGTTCTAAGCAAGGTGCTTTAACAATAAAAAATTTTTAAGTTGGAAAGAGCCAATAACTTGGACCATAGCTCACATAGAATTCCAAATTAAAGCGGACTGTTATCTCCCTAGATTTTGCAAACAATGTTTTTTATAACACTTTTTTTATAACACTAAAGGAAACAGCAAGCTGAAACTTTTCAAAGCACACAAATGGTGTCATCGCATTACTTGAAGAAGGTGCTAAGGGGGAAGGGAAACGGAGTGAAGAGTCCTTTTACTATATCCCACTACAGAACAGCCACTAACAGACTAAGAACAAAAAAAGAAACAACAAAAGTAAATTAAATCACTTCCCCAGTTTATAAAATAGTTCCAGTTTGTGACAAGATCTATAACTTTGAACAGAGAGCACCAGTTGGGTGATAGAATGAGCATTTCATACTGCATAAAAATTAGTGAGGTGGTAAGAACCATCAACCATCTCAGGCATCACTACATGGCCTTTCAAATGTTTTTTTTTTTGTGTGTTTTTTTTTTTTCCTTTTTTTTAAATACACATGCAAGGCACATTGATAGAAAAATAGATCTCTGGCCAAGAAATATATTAAATAAGCAAATTAAAATTTTGGCTTTGCAATATTGGCAACATCAAAATATAACCAGATAGCTTTGGACCATATATCTTTCTCATATTCCTCCACCCCATTTGGTGTTTTCTTCCTCCTATTTTGGGTTCAATCTTCAAGTTTGGGTATGTGCTTGAGAAATTACTTTTCTCTTGTCAAGTAGCATTCCTACTTTACTTTTATCTTTGCTAAGTAAAAATATACTAGAGAAGCAGAATAGTTGGGAGTTCTGATTGATTTGATTAAACTAAATCTGACTGGCTCGGGCAGCATTATTTCTCTTCTGTATACAAACAAAAAAATTAAGTCCTCAGCTTATAATAGTAGACAATTGTTTTCTTTTCTAAAAGAGAAATCAGTAACAAACCAATGATTCTACTCCCTTTAAGCCATTCTTCTCAACTCCTCTTTTTGAGGCAGAGAGGAAATAATAGAAACAAAGCTAGGTTTAAAAGATTTTCAGTAGTAGAAGACATTTTAAGGCCAAAAAGTGTAACACTAACAGAATTTTTATTTTCCTAAGTTATTGTCCTTCATAGGCCAATACCATAAAGTTATTTGTACTGATTCCCTCCCAAAGAGAATTTTAAAATTCATTCACTTTTGTTAGTGGCTGTGCTACAGGAAAGGTATCAAAGCAACCTATAAAGGTATGGTATATCCTAATGTAAAAAGTGCATCACATTCTTGATTTTCAGTTTCTCATAGCAGCAGCAGGATTAATCCAAGACAGAAAACAGTTGTATTTTCATTCTAAAAATGCAACATACCTAATGAAATGTATTTAAGATCATGAAAGGATCCTCCTCTGTAAAGGATAAATGAAACAGACTAATAGACAAACAGGGGCAAACTAGAGGCATTCATTCATATTTACATATTAAAACCATTTTTGTTAACACCAAATCTTTACATCTAACAAAAGAAATATTTTAAGGATAAAGCAGACATTACTAAAGCAGTATCCATTTTGGAGCCTTTGTTTAGCACCTGAGGAAAAAATGGTATATGGAAAGCTATATAATTTACCTCAAGTTGGTTTGTTAGTCTGTAGAGTAAAACTCTGATATACAATGAAAGGGATACTGCACTGGAAAAAACAAAAATGTCTGTAACTATTTTAATAAGGCTGTAGAAAAGGGATACTGCAGTATTATAAAATGGCTTTAGAACTCTGGACATAAACAAAACTGTATGGATAAACAGGGAAGTCTGAATCAGCAATTCCATCACATGTGAGGATGGCTGTTCCATAGGTTTCTAGTCAACAACTGCTATTTGACACTCCCAGTAATGCAAACTCAACATACCACTCATGCTTCACTGGGTGTTTTTATTGTGCACACAACTTAAAACACTATTTATTCTTAAGACCCTTGAGTAGCAAAACTGTGAAGTTTAATTTAAAACACATTAAAGCGGTGCTTTTGAGTGGAGCCAATGATTCATCATTTTAAAACTAACCCAGGGTGGTCCTGGTTCTCACATCTGAACAGAATTAAGTATATTTAAAAACAAACATTTTGATACTCAAAGCAAAAGCCCATCTTTCTCACCAAAAGGAATCCTGGTGCTCTGTTAAATACATTAATAAAAAAATAACATCAATATTAAGAACCAATGATAACCTATGTGTCTCTGCAAACTTAGAGCAGCTATTATACTTCGTCTTGTCCTCTGCCCTTCCCCTTTAAACAAATATGAATATTTTGGAAAATGACCAAATCCTACCCTTTCTTTTAAAATTCAGCAGGACTATCTAGGACTTATTAAAAGACAATGCCTGATCAGAATCTACCTCAACTGGTGCAGAACCAAGACCTATTATAAAAACTATTATCCAAAATATGCGTTTGTCCCACTGTAGTGTTTTGCAGTAAGCATAGGTATACGAGATCATGTGGTATTTGGGAATATAGTCCAGTGGCATAACTACACTCATAATCCTGGAAACGAGACTCAATCTATTTCTCTAAAGAAAGGCTTGAAAGAATGACTATTTAGCAGAATTTAAAATCAAGTGCAGTCCTCTTACAGATTTCTTTGCCTGTGGCCATTTGGTACATGACATACAACGAAAGATAAAACATTAGATGCCTCCAATTAGGTAGTAACAAACCTAATGACTAAGGATGAAACCACAGCTGCTATGTAATGTTTTGTGAATAAACACATTTTGTATTGTGGACAACACTCATAATTGAGGTTTGTCTAACTTTCCCTAGAAACTGTTATTTGAAGAAAACAATGCATCTTTTTTTTCCTTTATAAAGTTTTTGCAGATTCTGAGTGACGACTAGGTAAGCAGATGATTAAGAACAACAAAATTCTAAAATGGAGAGAACATTTCCAGCCATTTACCTCAAGAAAAAACTAACCGGCATTAACAAATTCCTAGTTATTTTCTATTGCCTCCTAGAGGGTAGAGGAGAAAGGGCTAACTACAGACGCTGTAAATACACTTAATGTGAAAGTTCATTACTAGGAGGTAAGAGGAAAGGCTATGCAATTAACTTCAGCTCAGCAAAGTGGGGGTGAATAAAGAGAAAGATAAATACACCCTGTCTTCTGTAGGGAAGGGGAATTGTTCAAGAAATCTACAAGAGAGTGGTATGTAACACAGAAGCCTATAATCAAGACAGACTTAAAAGAAATCTTCACCCATAATTAGTATCTTCATAGCTATTAAAAAAATAGGTCATGATTTCATTCTTAGTGCCATTTTTCAAACACTACCCCTTTCAGGATTAAAACCACCTGACTTTATTCTGTGTAATGAAAACAAATGGCACAAAATAAATACAAGTTCATTCTCTGAATACTAATGTCTTACACACATTTGTTTACTAATTTTTAATATCTTCCTCTTTCCCTCACACACAAGCACTCAACACACACACATACACACACCTTTTTCAGTCTTTATAATGGAGGGATGTTAAATCCCCTCTAGACTGTATTTGGTTTATGCTACAGTACTAATACTCTGAGTTGAAGGAAAATTCTTTATACCAAACAATAACAAATTGTTATTTAAATGTGCTAAATTAATCACAGCTGAAGTTTGTTTAGAAGCTTACACAAAAATAATGAGAAAACAGATCAACTCTTAAGATTTTTTTTTTTTAATAAGTGCTCTGTAAGGAATTGTGAGGACCTAAGGAGAAAGATTGTGACAAGTAGAGAGTTAAGTGTTACCAAACAGCACAAAGGATATCTGTCCCAAAGTCCTGCTTGTACCTAGGCAATTAAGTCCATTAACCCAATGCCCCCCAAAATACTGACAGTTAATATGATGGGACAATTAGGGTTCCCAGAAGGTTAAGAGATATTTCTAACTATGTACCTCTAACCATATAATCAAGAAAACTTCAGTGGAGAAATCAAAGTGAAATGTTGCATTATCTCATTTAGAAGTGAGACTTTCAAAAACCTTTGGACAAACAGAGAAGGGATACATTCTCTTTTTGGCTTCTCTAAGTATGAAGGCCTGAGGGATGTGGAAAGGAATAGGAAAGCAACAACAGCTTTCTAGAGATATTTTGTAAGTGTTGCTTCTAAATTTAAAAGCCCAATTCGGATGGGGGCTGATTTGGGGTTTTTATTCCCTTTTTAAACGTATATTCATTCAACCTCTGTATGACACAAACCCAGAAAGTTTCTTGTGAGTTGTGAGACAGAAGAGCTTTAAAATTCCAGGCAAGCAAAATGAATATTTAAAAAATGGAAGGAGGCATGGGGGGGGTGAGAGGATAGAGATAGAATCTGGCCCTAAGGCGACAAGTGGTTACACAAGGCAATTGAACACACAGCAGAACTTTAAAACCTATAAAACAAACTGGAGCCTTTTTTGCTTTAATCAACCTTATATCTTTTTTTTTTAATTTTTTTGAAAATTTTTATTAAAAAAAAAAAAAAGAACACAAAAACAGACTTCTTTCACTTCATTGCATTTTCCAGTTTGTTCAATGCTTTAAAGCTCAAGGATGCCTCTGCTTTCAATTGTACATGGGCCTGAAGCATCCTAGCTTTTGGCAAGCAGGCAGGAGACTCAACAAAAATCAAAATTGGAACAAGGCAGACTAAATGCAGGGAACATCTGTAAACATATTATACATTTAAAAATTACAATATCAGTAAAAGTTATACAGTTTACAGGTGAAATGAAACTATCTGAAACTGGCCTACCACAAGTTTCTGAACCTGGACTGATACAATAAGTTAATATATATATACACACACACACACATACACATATATACACACATACACACTCGCACTCACACACATACGTGTGTGTGTGTATATATATGTATATATATATAAAATGTATAAAAAATTTTGTTTACATCAAGTGGAATTGGCAATCCATGCTTATACTTTTAAAATCTAAGCAGGGCAGAAATCCAAACCATAAAGATGTTTATTCTATGTTGAGTCAAATAACTTCTTTCACAAACTACTTGTTAAAAGCCTCAAATAGTCAAAACAAGAAAATTCATCCATACTACAGTCGCTCAAAACTGGATATTCCTTAAGCAAAGGGGTTGGGAAAAGGTAGTTACCTTCTCACCAAACACCCCAGGGGGATCCAGTCTACTTTTATTAGAAGACTACACCTCTATAGAAATGCCCTGCTATTTTAACCTGTATTTGAGCTACATGGATATACTAATTTGTGTGTGTGTGTAATGTGATGCTGTGTCAGGCCAGAGAACTTGTTTTTATGCCACTAACATCACCCAATCTTAAATTGGACCCTTTGTTTCTGCACACACACACAAAAAAAAACTTATTTTAGCATGCTATATACAAGCTGCAGTGCAACAGGATGGCAATGTGATGACAAGACAGGGCTAATGCTCTTCTTTGCCCAAAAGAAAATTTCCAGAATTTCACATTATTTTCCTTAAAAAACCCATTTTGCTCTAGTAATAAAATATATTTATTAAGATATAACTGGAAGCTAATAAGCTCAGAAGTATAGTTTGCATGAAAACACATCTCCTATTGGCAGGGTTTATTATCTCCTCACTGGCTAAAAACATAAAAAGCTTTCTAGTTTCCATGGAATTTTTTTTCCCCTTTTAGATATTTCTGAGAAATTAAGAAAGAATTTATAAAAAGGTACAGAAGTTTCTCTTTAGATGTTTGATGGAAAACAGCACATTTAGTGTTAGTGACAGAGAGCAAGTCTGGAGCACCTACAGTTGAAAAGCAGAATACATTTTTGCTCCCACTTATACAATTACATTAAAAGATGGGCAAAGGAGTATTTTTCCATATTCAATATCTAAAGCCAATTGTTTGTTCTGTTAACTTTTCTTTAAACAACACTCATGGATTCTTCACTTGTTCAAGTCCAATATGTAACTGAAGCCAAGTGAAATATGTACCACCAACTATTCCAGAACTGTAGAACTTCAATGCCCTCCCCTCTCCCCACCCCACAAAAAAATAAAAGGAAAGAAAATATTTCCCTAACACCCCACGGAGGCTGCTTAACTCCTGGCAAGACATGCAAATCATATTCGCTAAAAAAATACACCCCTGCAAACTTCAAGGCATTTATCCAGCATTCTCGCAGGGCTCAAAGTATAACCAAAAGATTAAGGGAGGAGTGAGGGAAAATGTTGAATCATTCTGGGTTCCCTGTGATTAGTGTATCACTTTAGTCACAGAACAAGATACAGAGATCTCTTAAGTGGATTTGCCTTTCCAGTAGGTTATTTGTTGCCCAAGTTGATGACAGCAGGAACTTTAGAACCACGCTTATTAACAAGTCTGTATTCATTAATTACTTGCATTCACACTTAAAAACAAACTAACATAAGAAAAAAGGAAAAAAAAAACTATTCAGTACCGGAGATTAAATAACCATGTGTAGTCTCTTGAAATAAATTTGATTCCTTAAGAAGTCTAATTACTTTCAGTTGCCTTTTTTTTTTTTTTAAATAACTATATATATATATGTATATATATATATTTGTATATATTATCCTGTGATTCTACTTATGGTTCATCTGCTGCGCTGAAGATCTAGGAGCATAAAAGCCTTGTGTCCCCCATGAACGGTGGCTCTAATGCTGCAGAAAGGTTACAAACAGGCAGTCTGGTCCTTCATTGATCTGGACTATCCATGGCTTCATTGTAAGTGATTATCCTTTTGGGATCTGGAGGGAAGGTTGAAAAATAAACACATGAATAAAAATAAGGTCTGTAATCCTCAAATGCCCATGTTCCAATAACAAATCCAAAATAATCATCATTATTTAAACTGCACCTCCTTTTAATGAAAATACAATTTAAAGACCATTTCCTCTTTGGATTAACACATGCATGATCCACTTTTTCTCAACCTAATCCTTCCCATGGATTCCCAGCAACAGAGTCCTTTAGCCAATGAGAGCCTCAATTCTTACAGATGAGAGCGTAGTTCAATTAACAAGGGCTATCTTTGTGTTATTCTTGATTATAAAAGTAGTATATTTGAGAAAAGAAGACCAAAAAAAAAGAAAGGCTTAAATTTTCAATATCCAATACTAAACATTTGGATTTCTTTTCTTTTGTTCTTCTCAGAAAAATAAAGTCAAATTTTAACCAGCATGGATGGTCTATATAGTAAGAAATTATTCAAGTAACACCTAGCACCAAAAACTTCAAGATAAGCTAGTTTGGCAAAACTACCAGTTGGGTCCTAATCATGACTTATGTCTTCCTTATTTCCCATAGCACCACCATCCTTTATTCTCAAAAATGGCAAAAGCCAGTAGATCTGCTGGGTTCCAAGTATAAAACATTCAGAATATGTCTGGCCAAGATGCAACTGTTATTCTAAAATGCTTTTATTACATACTGTTTCTACCTATCACAAAAACTTTTTAAATTATACATGCTTTTAACAAAAAATGGAAAATCAGTAAAACCTGTCACCTAATGGAAAAGTATAAAGGCCTGAAAATAACACTGAAAGACTCAAGCTCACCTCGCATAAGAGTCAATCTATTTTTGTCCAGAAGTAATATAACATTCTTTCTAGAACTCCAAGGGCCATCCACTAGCAATCTGCCATGAAGATAATGCTCATTCTTAATAGTTAACAGACATTTTACAGTAAAAAAAAGAGAGGTCTACTTTTGCAGGGTATATTTTCTAGTCTACCCTTTTTTTCATGTGTTGAATAAAAGATACACAGAAAGTGTCTCAAAATAGTTTAAGAGCTTGCTAGTTATCTTTAGGCTACAGCTGTTTTAGACAAAAAAGACCTGGCCTAAGAATGAGTTAGAAGAAGGAGCAGTGTTGGGAAATCAGAGATACCTACATTCTAGTCCTGCCACTTTCTTTTTTAAATCGCCACCCAAGGATGATATTTTATATATATTTATATATATATATGCTCCCCCCCCCTATTTATCTTCAGATAGAGTGTGAGGGATTGGGAGGGAGAAAAGAGGGAGAAGAAAGGCAGAGAAACACTGACGTGAAAGGGACACATGGACTGGTTGCCTCTTGCACGACCCTGACCAAGGCCAGGGATGAACCGCAACCAAGGCACATGCCCTTGGCTGGAATCGAACCCGTGACTCATTGGTCCATGGGCCAACGCTCTACCACTGAGCCAAACCAGTCAGGGCTAGTCCTGCCACCTTCTAGCTCATACAATAATTTCTCTGGGCCTGTTTCCTAATTCATAAAATGAGGAGATAGAAGAGAATTTTAACGTCCTTAAAGTTCTGAAATTCTAGGAATTACACATTTATCTGAACGTTCTGAAGGCCCAAACCTATCAGTGACTAGCTCTCTAAACCAAAGCTCTCACTTTATTTTAGGCATTCCACAACTTTCACATTTTAATATATTTGGAAAGAAGGCACATACTAAGTAGGGTAACCAATTCCAATTTTATGAAAATTTAGTAATTCAGATATCGATTATCCAGTTCCTCTGCCTGCGATTCACACCTGTTCATGGGGAAGAAGCGAATTTGCTATTTTTAGATTTCTAACCATCTTTTCAGAGAATATACAGCCCACACAGCAAATTTTTTTTTAAACTATGAATTTCAGTTCTTAGGCTACTCTACTCCTGTCTACCACACAAATACAGATGAAGACTGACCATAAGTGAAAACACTTATTCATGTTGGTTTCCTAGATTAAAAATATTTATGGTCTGTCTTATTTTCATAATCAGGAACAAAAGAAAATATTCATGTTCTTCACCTAGCAGATAAAAAGTACTTTAATATATTCTTTTCCCTTAGTGTTACCCACTCCTTAGCAGTCTTGGTAAGGTAGCTGGTACCTTTTGACTGCAAATTACAAAGGCTATTTATTTGGTAGGCCATTATTCATGTAATTCCCACCCCAAAAGAAAGTACAGTAATTAGTGATTAGTACTAACATTTCTGGTAACCTAAACATTCTTACCTTGCTTCTGCAAATTCCAAACAGACTCCATTTCTGCAAAGGGAAAAAAAAAAAAAGATTATTTTATACACTAAGTTTTGTAGAACACAGTTTAAACCTATGCTGAAGTCTACAAAATCAAGACTGGTCAATACTGGGCTGGAGGTAGGGCTGAAATTAGCACAGTTCTATGAAGCTCAGACAAAACAACTCACATTTTTCTATATTCTTAAGAATGTCATTCAGATTGCCTTAAGTATTAATTACAAAAAGGCAATCATCTGAAATCAAACTGCCAAGAGAACTATTTTGTCTACATAAATAGCGAAGATATAGAGAAGCATGCTTTAGATAAAATAATTCTTATAATAGCTCATTGTTATTTTAAAAACAAAAAACCAAACCAAACCAAACCAAACAAAAAAATGCCAAGTATTTTTTGGCAACTCCTCACCCCTCAACAAGGTGCCCAAATCTTCTGAATGAAGCACTCATCAAATTTTATTAAGCTTGGTGCTTAAAATGCCATATTAAAATTTTACTTAACTCTTGCTATAGGCAAATGGTTCTATTCTTTAAATCACATCAACTCTTATTTTAGCCCTTATGGCCAATATGCCTATTCACACACATTTATTAATAACATGCAATCCTTATTTGTTCCAAGTCCATTCAAATGTGATTATCTACAATGTGCTTACTTTAGGATCTTACAATAAGGGAAATATGTACATGACCAAACTATAGCGACATACAGAAAGAAGGCAAAAGTTCTACCTGAAAGCATACTAGAAAGCTTTAAAGAGGGGCTATTTGAAGTTTTGATGAATAAGATAGTACATTACTATTACACCACAAGAACCTAGGAGTTGGGCCTTGAAAGGAAATACTGTGTTAGAAGATTAATAGAAACAAAAACTACTTAGAAATAGGAATGAACTATATAACTAATACTGTGAATAAGTGCTCTTCCTGTGTCCATACAACTACCATTTATAAAAGACAAAAAAGTGATTTTATGTTACATAAATGGACTCTGTAATTATTTCCTATATTTATCAGCAACCAGTTATAGTTAAAACAAAACAAAACTGGAGTTAAGATAGAATATATCTAGACATTAAGATACACAATTCTTTCCCAGGGCCAAAACAGGTGTATAGATCTAAGATTATTTTTTGTTTTATGATTACAGATGAGGTCAGGGAATGGGAAAGCAAACAAACAAAAAACACTCTTCCTGCCTGACTGCCCCCCTCAAATCAAACTCACCTCTAAAAAAACTGCTAGAGCCCTGGCAGGTTTGGCTTAAAGATTAGAGCGTCAGCCCGCGGACCAGAGAGTCCCGGGTTCAGTTAATGCTAAGGGCACATACTTCGGCTGCAGTTTGTCCCCAGCCCCAGTTGGGGTTGTGTGGGTGGCAAGCACTCAATGTGTCTCTCTCACATCTGTTTCTCTCTCTCCCCCTCCCGCTCTATGTGAAGATAAATGCAAAAAATAAATAAATAAATAAAACTGCTAGATTTTTTGGAAAATTTGTCAGAATTGAATGTTTGCACCAAATAGGTTAATTATTCAAGTGATCAAAGCGATTATCCATATAAAATCCCATTAAAGGTTTTACAATAAGACTCTCATTAAACAAAGACTGGGAAATAATGCACTGGTTGCCATTTGGTGCAAGAGCTTAGCTGGATGCTATGGCCTTTAAATTGCTAGGCAGATGCCCATCTATAGATTGATGGGAAAATACCCCTCTCCAGGAGGCCTAAGGAGAATTGTAACCAATCTAATCTGGGAAAAAAAAGATATATCACAAAGGGAATTCTAGTCACGGTGCTCATATTTATGTCTCCAAAATAATTTCTAATTCCATTAATTTCAGACAATCAGGAATAGCTGAAAATGTCATTAGACCTGTTATCCTACAAATGTCTGTGTTTCAAAATGGCTTATTTTAAGAAACCCAAAGGAACACCTTTCCTTGGTTGACCTGACTACAAAGAAAATTAATCTAATACAATCAACATTTTTTCTTTTAGTGCAAGCACAGAAATCTCACATTTTGCAACAAATAAATTCTTGAGTTCTGTATACAGGTTATTTGATACTCATTATTATAACTTAGCTTAGTGCAAAGATAAATCTACATTTAGTTGTACTTTGAAGAAATCTTCCTGACTGCAAACCTCAACTTGCCCCTGTCCCCTTTTTGGGTGGTATGGATGAAGGTGGACTACCCTCAAGAGTCATTCATAGTAGCAATCATACTACTTTAAAGCAAAGCAAACATATAAATTTTAGAATAAAAACAAAAGTAACTACAGTTGACCCTTGAAATAACATGGGGATTAGGGGTGCCAACTCCCTGTGCAGTAAAAAATCCAAGTACAAGGTTTGACTCCCCCAAAAGTTAAGCTGTCCCTTGGAATCCATGGTTCCAACATCCCCCATGAATACCAAAATCCATGGATACCCAGTCCCCTATATAAAATGGTATAGATCAATGCATATAGTGAGCCCCCCACATCTGCAGACACTCTACTGCAAATGGAAAACAGCGCAGGTATTTATTGAGAGATATCCACATTTAAGAGGACCTGCGCAGGTGACACCCATGTTGTTCAAGAGTCAACTATATTTGCAAACACTCAATTTCTTTAATGGATTAAAGACATTTCCTTAGCTTAACTAGAACATTTAGCTTTAGGTTTTACTCTAATTATTATAGATTGATTTTATTTATTTATTTATTTTAAATGTATCTTTATTGTTGGAAATATTATAGATGCCCCCCTTCTGTTCCCCTATTGACAACATCCAGACCCCACTAGGCCTTCACTGAACTATTTTCTGGGTCCATGAATTATGCATATATACATAGAAGCTTTTTGGTTACTCTCTTCCCACCTACCCCCTAGTCTCCTGGAAAAGAAGTTTTATTAATCTCAAATATGGGCTCTGGAGTAGTAAATCTGATCATGACTTTTGAGGAAGGAACAAGGAAGTACAACCTAGCTAAAAAATTAGCCATGGACCAGCCAAACTTCTACCCAATAAATAAATCAGCATTACCTACAGAGCAATGAATGCAAGTCCACTTCTTATTTAATATTAATTACTTATATAACTTGTAGCAACTAGATTACCTTGATTAGAATTTTAAAGTTTCCATGAAACTCAAAGTTAAGATAAAAAAAGATGGGGAAAGAAATATCATTTGCATGTTTATGTCATGCTTAAACAACCCTAGCTAAGACCAACAAACTAGGCTACAGAACACATAGGAAAGTAGTGAATTATATTTTGCCCTCCTTTAAGCTACAGTAATCTTGAATCAGATTCTAAATATGAAATAGTTACCTTGTGTAGTTTTATTTCACTATTACAAGAGAAGCTGAACAAATGAATATAAAGGTTACAAAAGCACGTTCAACTATACAAAATCATAACATAGTAATTAATCTTTATACTTTTAATACCTATACACACACTCATACATACATACACACAGTCTTTAACCTCCCAGTTCTTTTTAAAGACTTATCATAGCATCCAATTATGCAAATAGTTACTGAGAAATGGCCACAGGGCCAAACCTGCTAACCTTAAGTAAAGGGTTCTGCTCCTAAGATATACCAAGGCAGGCAATTTTGTTAAAATTCTGTAATTTAGACCACAATCAAAATGCTAAATTTTACTATATCAAAATCTTCAAGTATTTAGTTATGCCTCTTATCAGATGAAAAAATATTAACATTCAATTTTCAAAAGCAGACTTTCTACATAGCTCCCTATCACAATGCTTCCTGTAGTAAATGTTCAATTACCTGCAAATTCCTAATTCCAAGTAGATTAAAAGTAGTATTTAGGGTCTAGGGATACAAATCCAAAAACGAAAAGAAAGACAGTCACTGTAAGCTTAATAGGACGTTGGAAGCTTTTCTAGGTAGATGCATCAGCATTATAAACAATGCCTGGTGGTACAAAGTGGGTTCTACCCACCACCTGTTTTAAAAAAACAAAGTTTTATTGGAAGAGTCACACTCACTGTATATATTATCTATTGCTGCTTTTGTGTACAAAGCAGAATCAAGAATCCAGTAACTGCAATAGAGACCATCCCTATGGCTCACAAAGCCTATTTATTATCTGATTCTTTTTTTTTAATCCTCACCAGAGGACATTTTTCGGTATTTTGTTCAGATAGAGTGGGAGAGAGAAACATCGACATGAAAGGAACACATCGAGTGGTCGCCACCCACACAACCCAACCAGGGCCGAGGACAAACTGCGGGAACCGAACCTGGGTCTCTCGGGACCGCAGACCGATGATCTAACCGCTGAGCCAAACTACTATCTGATTCTTTATACAAAAAGTTTGCTGGGAAAAAAAATTTTGCTGACCCATGTTTTAGTGGTCACAAGTAATATATTAAGGCTGAAAGTCACTAAGAGAAAAAGATTTAGACAAAGAAGACTATTCAAGGAACAGAGTTCAATGTTGCTAAAATGAAGATTTCAGAGAAAGAAAAATGCTTTTCTGCTATTCAGGGGACAGTGCACAAAGGCATACAAAAAGAAAAGTATATTATTTAATCATATAGGTGAACAGAAGCCACTGAAGAAATTTAAGGTTATTGTATTAAATATTAGTAATGATTCCAATGCAAGTAAAGAGAATAAATGATACGACAATACAAACAGCCCAGTCACCCTGGTCAGTTTGGCTCAGCGGTTGGTCCGCGGACCAGAAGAGCGGGTTCGATTTTGGTCCACTCAGGGGCACATACCTCAGTTGCAGTTCGGTCTCTGGCCCTGGTTGGGGTCACGTGGGAGGCAACCAAGTGATGTACCTCACATTGATGTTTCTCTCTCTCCTCTCTCCCTCCCTCCCATTCTATCTGAAGATAAATGGAAAAATATCCTGGGGAAAAGAGCCCACTAAATGTTACTGTAAAAATAAAGAAATTAGGACAGTTGTACTACAGATGGAAAAGAAAGAAATGGAAGTGTTAGAGACAGGATCCATATAACCTAATAAGGGTTGTATG